ATATGTGCTCATTGGGGAGGGACAGAGAGAGTGAGTGAGAAAAGCCTTCGAGACTTGAACTGCTGTCAGCCATTTGGGAGTTCCGTGCCTTAACCACACTGCCATCTGCTGGCCCCAAGTGGAAAATATTTTTAAAAGAAAGAAGGAAAACAAACAACAAAAAAAACTAAAAAAAAATTATGTTTCCCTTTTTTGTTTTGTTTTGTTTTAGAGGTTTTTCCTATAGGGCATGTGTGCACGCCAGAATGAGACAGAGAGATAGAAAGTGAGAAATTGCCCCCCAGGGTGGAGGGCCACTCCGCAATCCCTTCTCCTCCATTGTTCTCTCGGGATCTTGGGCATGCACGGACATGCGCCCGGCGTGAGTTTAAGCCACCGGGTCTGGAACTCAAACCGCGGTTGTCTGCATAGGAGTTCAGAGACATAGCCAGTACGCCAACTGCTGGTCCTATAAATTTTTATATATTTTTAAAAATTTTTATTTATTATTAAATTTGCCATAAGGCACTTGTGTTCACCAGAGAGACACAGAGAGAAAGGGAGAAAGCAAGCCATCCATGTGGGAGTCCAGAACCTTAACCTAACATTTTATATTTTTTATGATTATAATTATGGATGTTTCTGTACTGTGTCCTTTTTATCAGTTGCTTTGTTTGCCGCATGCTTAAATTATTTATTTTTAAAAAACTGAACCCATTCAGGCACTCTAAAGTATTTTAAAAATTTTATTATTTTTAATATTTGCAGAGAGAGACACACACAGAGAGAAAGGAAAGAGAGGGAAAGTGAGAAAGCAAGCCTTCAGGTCCAGGACTTGAACCATGATTGGCTATCTGGGAGTCCAGCTCCCTTAACCACCCTGCCACCCACTGGCCCCACTTAAGTTATTTTAATTTTTCAGTGTTTTAACTATAAGAATGTAGTTAAATTTTTGTGTATATACATGATAATTTTCTTCAGATAAGCTCCTACCAGTTGTTAAAGCTTTGGCTGGTCTTGCAGAGTGTTCTCCAGAGAGGTGCTCTGGTTTAGACTTTAATTTGCAATGATAAGAATGCCTGTTAAGACTATATACTTTTTATTTTTAAGCTTTTTTTTTTTTTTTTTTTTTTTGAGAAGTTTTTACTATAGGGCCTGTGCGTTCACCAGAAAGACAGAGACCAAGTGATTCAAAGAGAGAAATCATCCTACAGGGGGATGGCCACACTGCAATCCCTTCTCCTCCATTCTCCTCTCTGGATCTTGGGCATGCACGTACACTTGCCTGGCGTGAGTTTAATCCACTGGGTCTGGGACTCGAACCGTGGTTGACTACATGGGAATCCAGCAACATAGCCATTACACCAATTGCTGGTTCCTGTTTTTAGGCTTTTGTCATAGAGTGTATATGTTCACAGAGAGAGACAGAGGAAAAGTGAGAAAGTACCTCCCTCTGCCCTCCGAGGATGGCTGCACTGTAATTCCTTGTCCCCCATTCTCTTCCTGGGATTTTGAGGCCCCCCCCCACACACACACACTTGGCATGACTTTCAAGTCATCAGGTCCAAGACTTGAACCACAGTGGGTCATGTAGGAATCCAGCTTCTTAACCACAATGCCACCTGCTGGCCCCATGAGTCCATATTTCTAAGTCTGCCTGTTTAACAGGTAAAACATGTCTCAGTTTGATCTGCAATATCGGTGATGCAATTTTTCATCTGTCAAATTAACTCATGTTTTAAAATTTAAGTTTGTCTTAAAATGTGCAATATTCTTTTCATTGTTCATATCTTAAGAAGAATGATTTTATTTTTATTTGTTATTATTTTAATTTGACCAGAGAGAGACAGAGACAGAAAGCAAATCTGCAGATCCAGGACTTGAACTGCAGTCAGCCATGTGGAAAATCCAGTGCCTTAACTGTGTTAAAAACAAATTTAAACAAACCGCCACGTGGTTTACAAGGAATGTATGTGGGCAGATGAGAAAGCGACGTGTGCAGTAAAAAGGGAAAGTGTCGTATAAGAACGTAAGTGAGGGAGTGAGGTAGAGAGACCACTGGTTACAGGTAGAAGGTAGGCTGCACACACAGCCTAAAAGGTGAGCTTTCTGGGACTGAGTTATGACTGGTGTGATTGGCTATAACTTAGTAGTAACCAGCTCGAAAATATAAAAAAACCAGCCTAACAGATACAATTCCAGCTTATCCAGAGGGATCCATATGTGGGAGTAATTCAGCCATTTTAATTCAGAAGAGTTTAGTTTAACAACCACCACACCACTTGCCGGCCCCTCATTGCTCATCTTGAGAGAACGGAGATTGAGGTTTCATTAATATACGTAAATGCCCAGAACTTAGTGAGATAGTTTAGTGAATTCTGACAAAGTACACTTACATTACCATCACACAGATGAAAATGTAGGGCATTTCTGTCATCCCTGGGAGTTTCCTAAAGAGACTCTGGTGTTTCATACTTAGTTTTCTACTTATTTGGGCCTTTTGAAGACCGGGAATTCATATGAACAGCAGCACTAGTTAGCTGAAATTTGCTTTGCTTATCTAAGTTCTACCCAGTGATCTATAAAAAGTAAGAATTTGCATTCAGATAGCAATCCATATACATATTTAATGTGACTAATCTGTACCAAGGTTTATTCTGCCATCTTTATGCACGTTAATCCCTTTATTGTGCAGAAATTTAATGTGGGTGTTCTTGTCCTCTTTCAGGAGACTCTGCAAATCGATGAGGATGATAGGCCGGAACTAGTCTGGTGGAAGTGTAAGAAGTGGGCACTGCATATTGTAGCTCGTCTCTTTGAACGGTGATGCTCTGTTGATTACATTTATTTATTTATTTTAAAAATTATTTTATTTAACTTTATCCATTCATTTATTTATTTACTTATTTCAATTTGACCAGAGAGGGACAGAAAGACTGAAAGTGAGGAAGCAAGCCACCAGGTCCGCGACCTGAACTGTGGTTGGCCATGTGGGAGTCCAGTGCCCTTAACCACCACTCCACCTGCCGACCCCCATTTATGATCTTACAGTCAGACGTCTTTTGGTGTTGGTTATAATAAAGTTGGATAGTTCCCTTGATGTTCTGCCATATATGATTATTTGTTTTTAAGTCACAGAGTCCACCTTTTGTTTAAAGTAGGCATGATAGTGATTATTGACTTCAAGGAAACCTTTGCTGCATCTTTACTACTATTCTGTGGAAAAACGGGATGCTGTTGTTGAGCCCATTGAAAATATCCAGGAATTGTGCCAAAGGGTACATGGAAACTCCATATGAAACTCAACTTTCATTTTAAAAGCATTTGTTGAAAAATCCATTATATGTCAGAGAAAACATTTTTGTTTCCATTTTCTCTTTAGGAGATCTAAAGAGACAGGTGACAGCTTCTGCCTAAACTTGAAAGTCTGAGTACAGCTTGTTAGGATTCATTTGCAGCTATGTAAAAAAGGAATGGGTGCATTTTCTGCTCCAACAGAATATTAAAAGTATTCTCTTTGTGTTTTAAGATATGGAAGCCCAGGAAATGTCACGAAAGAATATTTTGAATTTTCTGAATTCTTTTTGAAAACCTATGCAGTGGGAATTCAGCAGGTAATGAACTTATGCTTTTTAAATAGAAAGATGGTTACTACTGAAAATAGGCTATTTCTGTCTGTTTAAAAGTAATTTACTGGGAGATGGTGGGAAATGAGGGAGGGTCAGAGGGAGGGAATCACAGGAAACAAAGAAGCAAAACATTTAGGAGACACAAAAATGGAAAATTATCTCTTGATGATAATGTGTATGGAAATATCTTTAACTGAACCAGTATACAGTATATTCATGATGGGAAAATTCATTTGTATAGTGTAATGATACACAGTGATTGAATGTAAATAAAATATTAGAGAAAAAGTAACTTACTAACATAATTCGTTACATATTCCAGAGATGAAATGGCAGCTCTGGAAATCTGATATGTTGCAATTAGTTTTAGAATCAAATAGGGCAGCTCCCATAAGAACTGCCCTTCTAAACTTCTAGATTCCGAACTCAAGCCTTTTAAATTTGTTAATACTGGTGTAGCAGTCACCTGTATTAGATTGGGTTCTTTTATTGATTGATTGAAAGATTTTTGCTATAGGGTATGGGCACTCACCAGAGAGACAGAAAGCGAGAAGTCACACCCAGGAGAGATGGCGACACTTCAATCTCTTCTCCTCCATTCTCCTCTCGGGATTTTGAGCATGCCCGCACACATGCCCAGCATGAGTTTTAAGCTGCTGAGTCCAGGACTGAAACCGTGGTCTGGTAGTCCAGTGATGTAACCATTATGCCACCTGCTAGTCCCTAGATTGGGTTCTTACATGAATTCTTTCAGACCTCTTAAGAGCTTCTTAACCTTTCTTTCTTTGAGTCTCACCTTTTTACATTTTTAGATTTATGTAATACTAATTGATTTATTTCAAGAGTACTTAAGCTTTGATGTTAAGACTCTCAGCTGAGAACTTGAGGGGACCAGCAGTTGGCGTAATGGCTACATCACTGGACTTCCATGTAGTTGACCACGGTTCGAGTCCCAGACCCAATGGCTTAAAACTCAAGCCAGGTGCTGTGAGTGTGTGCCTAAGATCCTGAGAGGAAAAATGGAGAAGGGATTGCGGCGTGGCCATCTCCCCGGGTAGTGATTTCTTGCTTTCTGTCTCTCTCTGTCTTTCTGGTGAGTGTATGTGCCCTATAGCAAAAACCTCTCCAAAAAAAAAAAACAAAAAAAAAAAACTTGGACAGTTTTCTGGAGATTTGGGAACCATTATAGTGAAAATAAGTTCTTGAGAAACAATCCAAGTTGTTGAAAAATTTTAAAAAACTTCAAAGGATAAGTGGGCTGTGAAGATTGGTTGGTCAGTATTGCCATTTAAATCATGATTCTTTGTTGTAAAATTTAACAATTATTGCCCATTGACTGTTCCGGGACCCCATTGAGGAAGCAAAGACTAATTATATGTAGTCAGTGCTTTTAATGATATAAAGGTTTTCCTATATTTTTGTAAATTTGTTACATATTGTCAATGATACAGAATTAAATACTTTGAGCCTGTCACCTTAAAATGCAATACTTCCTTTTTAATGGGCTGCCGTGTTGTCTAGTAGGATGTTTTCTAAAAAGTACCGTGATACAACTGAGGAAAGGTGTAGTTCTAATTGTCTCACAAATTATTGTTTTCTCATGAGATAGTCTGTCGGAAAAGTTAGTGAGTAAGGAGTAAAAAAAAAAATCTGTTCAGCAATTTCCCATGCATGCTAGAATGATCAGGAAGCTGGTCAGCTGTCTTTCCACTGTTAAACTCCATTAAGCATTTGAATGTTGCTGTCCACTTGAAGTATGTTCAGTAGACTTTTCCCGGTGATGTAAACATGGACCTATGCCTGTGTGTAGATGTGTATGCACACATTAAGCGAAAGCTCATGCCATTGCCTTCACGTCATAAACTCCTTATGTCTTGGTTACTTAAGGTGCATATTTCTGGTACTTAAAAGTAGTCCTCTCATCAAGAACCGTTTTCTCCTCCACTGTTAAGTCTCATCTCCCATTATCCTCTACGTATGAGCCATAACTGTCTTTGGAAGAGTCATGTTCCTAAAGTCATGTAACACTTTCATTGCATTTTTTCCATGAACTTTTCAACTCCCCTTTTAAAATAAAATTCTCCCGGGAACCAGCAGTAGCGTAATGGCTATGTTGCTGGACTCTCATGTAGTCGACCACGGTTCGTGTCCCAGACCTGGTGGCTTAAAACTCACGCTGGGTATGTGTGCATGCGTGCCCAAGATCCCAAGAGGAGAATGGAGGAGAAGGGATTGCGGAGTGACCATCCCCCCGGGGGGGGATTTCTCGCTTCCTGTCTCTCTGTCTCTGTCTGTCTGGCAAGCACACGCACCCTATAGCGAAAAAAACCTCTCCAAAAAAAAAAAAGAAAGAACTAAAAAAAAAAATTCTCCCACATTTTTCTTTTAGAGTGTCTATACTTCATTTTTTGTTGCTGTTAAAATACTTCTCCATCTGGCATTTATTTTACAAAGTTTATAGTTAGGGAACTAGTTTAATGTTTTTCAGAGAGCCAGTCAGTTTATTTTTTTTAAAGGTTTTGGCCATGGGGTACATGTGCTTGCTGGGGAGAGACCGACAGAGAGGGAAAGTAAGAAATCACTCTATAAGGAGATAGCCACACTGCAGTTCCTTCTCCTTCATTCTACTCCTGGGATTTTTTTGGCGTGCATGCACATAGTCCTGGAGTGATTTTCAAGCCTCTGGGTCTGGGACTCCAACCATAGTCAGCCTTGTGGGAATCCAGTGCCTTAACCACTACCCTACCTGTTGGCCTAATCAATGCAATGTTTTGAATAACTTTTGTCTTCCATTTTGGAAGAGCCTTTATCAGATAATAAGATCTTGGTATCACTTGCTGTATGAAAATTTATGTTTATTTAGTTTATTAATTTTTTTAATTGCCAGATGGTATGTATGTGCACTTGTCAGAGAGAGACAGAGTCAGAGAGAGGGAGAAAACACCCCTCAGTGGGGTGTGGTCCTTCTCAGTTTCTCTATCCTCTTGGGATTTGGTATATGCATGCACATGTGCCTGGTGTGTTTCTCAAGCTTCTGAGACCAGGAATGAAATAATGGTCAGTTGTGTGGCTCCTTACTCCTTTAACCACTAGACCATGCGCTGGCCCCAGTTATTTTATTTTTTTTGGACAAGTTTTTGCTATAGGGAGTGTGCACTTGTCAGAAAGAAAGAGACAGAGTGAGAAATCACCCCCCAGGGAGGATGGCCACGCTGCAGTCCCTTTTCCTCCATTCTCCTCTCGGGATCTTGGGCATGCACGCACACGCGCCCGGCATGAGGGTAAGCCCCCAGGTACAGAACTCAAACCGTGGTCGACTACATGGGAGTCCAGCGACATAGCCATTATGCCATCTGCTGGCCCCTGTTATTATTTTTCTTAATAGGAGTCTTACATTGTTTTATAGACCTAGCAGTAGAAGAACTTAGACTTTTTCGAGTAGTCCTACAGGCTAGGGGAAGGATAGACACTTGAAAGTTACCGTGAGATGCCCGTTGTGTCAATACAGGCACTCCTCACTTAACAACCACGCTCTATTCCCATGACTAGGTTGTTAAGCGAATTGCTCTATAAGCAAGAATCTTAAAGGGAATTCATGTTCTTTCTTTTCACTGACATCTTGTGCAGTGGGTGCACAATAAAGTACAAATGTGTAGGCATAATATGTAGTCTTGTGCGATTGTGAACACTTCGTGTAGTGAATAAGAACTGACTGTGAGAACAACAGAGGCTGAGAAGGGGCTTCCTGAGAGTCACACAGACTGAGAAAGGACGCCCCGCGGGAGGACTGGTTGTCAGTCCTTACACAGGTAGGTCATTAAGTGGCTGTACAGATGGATTTATCTAATAACTAGAACTGTCCATGTGAACTTGCTCAAAAAATATTGATTTCCCTCAAAATCTGTTAGTTTTTATCCCTGTGCATTCTGGAATTTATGTCAAGCCTAATTAAAATTGTTTGTATTCTTCTGTTTTCTCTTCCTATTTTCCTATAGGTACTACTAAAAATTTTAGATCAATATAGACAGAAAGAATATGTGGCCCCCCGTGTTCTTCAGCAGGCATTCAACTATCTCAACCAAGGGGTTGTTCACTCTGTCACCTGGAAGCAGATGAAGCCACACATACAGGTTAGTTTAACAGATTGTTAATAATCTCTGGGATTATTCTCTGAGGTGAAGAGTGAGACTGGGAAGGATGGGGGAGAAGACTAGCCAGATGCTGGTGGGTGAGAATAGGATTATAGATAGTGTCTGAGTTCCAAAATACAGTGGGATGAATATTGTTAACAGCGACATTGGATATGTCAGGGTACCTACTGGGGAGGGTTCCCAATGCTCCCAGCACAAAGTAACGGAGACAGGTCAAGGTAATGGGTTTGCCACTGGGTTATTGCATATTGTATTCGTGTGCGGAAGTATCACATTACACTGCCACAAATAGGTGCAGTGATTGTAATTCTAGTTTTAAAATCTTCTAAGAAAAGACTATATAGAAATGTCTAAAAAATAATCTTAAAAAAATAAAGTCATTCTCTGGCTAAATCCAGCGTATCTTTTGATTCCATTAATTGTTTTAATCAAATGTATCTGATATGAAGGGCTTGGATTTAAGCATTTGAGAAGAATGGGGCCTTCAAGTCTTAGGAACTGAAGCCTTAGATTCAGTTGATCTTGCTTAAGGTCTCATTTAGCCTCGGTTTCTTCCCATGAAGGCAGATGATGCTTTTCTGCCCTTTAATTTATAAGTTGATAGATCTAATGAGGTGCTTTTTATGAAAACATTTTGAAAACTGTCACTACGGCTGTACTAAACCTGATATGTGACCATTTTCTTTTGGAGGTATGAGCAGAAGAGGTTTTTATTTTTTTCACGTCGTTAAGCTCTGTAGCAGAATTTCTGTTTTTATATCAACTGTTTACTTAAAGGTAGAATTCAGCATTGCTGTTTAATTAAAAAAATGTGAATGGAAAATTATGAGCCATTACTAAAATTTTACTTATATATTTTGAGTAACTGAAAGCCATTATTTATTTATTTTATTTTTGGAGAGGTTTTTGCTATAGGGCGCCAGACAGACAAAGAGAGGCAGAGAAACAGAAAGTGAGAAATCACCCCCCAGGGGGATGGTCACGCCGCAATCCCTTCTCCTCCATTCTCCTCCCGGGATCCTGGGCACGCACGCACACGTGCCCGGCGTGAGTTTAAGCCACGGGGTCCGGGACTTGAACTGTGGTCAACTACGTGGGAGTCCAGCGACATAACCATTATGTTAACTGCTGGTCCCCTGAAAGCCATTATTAACTGAATCTTTGTCTCTCCACAAACTATGCCTTTTTATTTTTTATTTTTAACGTTTAAAAAGTTTTTGCTATTGAGTACATGCACTCCCCAGAGAGAGACAGTGATTGGGAAAGTTAGAAATTATTCCGCAGGAGGACGGTCTCTTCTCCACCAGTCTCCTTGGGATTTTGGGCATACATGCACACATGCCTGGAGTAACTTTCAAGCTGCTGGGTCCGGGAGTTGAACCACTCAGTTGGTTCTGCAGGATCCAATGCTCCAACTTCTATGCCACCTGCTGACCCCAAACTATGCCTTTTAAAATTCCATAAGATGATATCTACAAAGAAAAACAAATTCTTTTACTTTGTCTTTGCTATTTAGGATAAAGTTTAGTGTTGTCTTATTATAGGTCTTACAAATATATTATTTTTTTATTATGCTTTTATGTGTACATCTTAACTATTTGTCTAATTGCTTTGATCAAAGTGATAGTATTTTTGCAATTAATGAAAATACTGATTTCATTTTGCATATTATGCGCCTGTGAATTAAGGGTGAGTTGTGGTAGTATTTTCTATATTTGATGCCTTTGGCCTTATTTTTGTATGGCTCTAATGAAACTGTTTAGAAACATGGCTCTAATGAAACTCTAAGAAAACTGATTCCTGGGCTCTTATTTTTCTCTTAGAGTTATTGAATTTTTTATTGAATTTGGAGTAGATGATAAGATACTGTTTTTACATGAGTAATTTCTTAGAGTACGTAGGGCATAATAGATCATTGGCAACAGTATTGAGAGGCTACTGGGTGTGATATTTTTCCCCCTGTTGAAATGTACATTTGTGGAGTAGGAAATTGTTTTTTTGAAATTGGAAAAGAAAATTTTAGTATTGTCAATACATTGACATTTAGAATGAAGTAGGAAATGTTAAAAAAATTTTTGAAATAAATATAATAGTAAATTTAACCTTGACATTTTTATTTCTTAGATAATATATCTTTATTATTGATTTGTTAGTAAAATTTTTTTTATGCCTGTTGTTGCTTCAAAGAATAACATTTATCTTTGTCTCTTTCTCTATACCTTTAACTGCTTGTTGTTTAAAAATAATCTTATGTTTAACTCTTTAACCCCAGCCGCACACCTAGAGGCTTTTGATTTCCTGCTTCCGCCTGAATTAACACAGGCAGAAGTGTAGCATAACAGTTTGGAAAACCAATAGCATAAAAGCTATCAATAAATACATGTCAGTGCTACAAAAATTGAATAGCTATACTCATTTTTTTTTTTTTCTGGCCTTAGAATATCTCTGAAGATGTGATTTTTTCCGTGATGTGTTATAAAGATGAGGATGAAGAGTTGTGGCAGGAAGATCCATGTGAGTATATAAGGATGAAATTTGGTAATTAAGATGATCTTATTTCTCATCAGTTCCTAGATATGTAAAATGATATTATTAAATTTACATATATATATATATATATATATTTAAAGTATATATTTTTGTAATGATTATTTGTTTCATTTTATTCATTTATTCATTTCTTTTAATTTGACCAGAGAGAGAGACAGAGAGAAAGGGAAAGTGACTAAGCAGGCCACTAGGTCCAGGACTCTAACCACAGTTGGCCATGTGGGAGTGTCCAGTGCCTTAACCATCACGCCACCTGCTGGCCCCTAAATTTATATTTTTAAGTAGATTTTAATACTTTGTTAGATTCCCCTAATTCTGCTTTGCATGATACTCTCTGAAACTCATGAGAGTTTGATGTTCTATTGAAGCAAAGAACTCGGGGCTTTGGGTGTGGGGAATGAAGACCTGTCCTGTCCCTCTCTCTCCCGAGTGTGGGAGCCATCCATGTGTGGAGCCATCCATCACTAATGCTGTTGTAAGGCCCATCTGCGGGAACCATCCCTTCCTGTGCCCTTCAGGATACACGTGTGTAGACTGGGGTGTTCTCACCTGGGGAGGGTCTCTGGATTTCTGCCTGTTTTAGGAGCACCCCATTTTGGTTGGTGCCATTACCCTAGACATCAAGTGTCCAGCAAAGGGATGAGGCCCCGCTGTGGTGGCCTAGTTCTCTGAGGGCCCTTTTAGCTTAGATCATTCTGGAAGCTGTTGAACTGTATAGATTCCCTGAGTCATTTCCTTTTATCCCCAGTTTGTATAGTTGCTTCATGTGCTACTTGAGCACTCAGCCAAAACATGTTCATTCACATCTCTTTGTCTCTCTTGCAGTGTAGCAGCCGTCTGAGGACAGGAACTCGGTCTTATTTTACATTATTATTATTATTCTTTTGTAGAGGTTTTTGCTATAAGGTGCGTGCACTCGCCAGAAAGACCGAAAGTGAGAAATCACCCCCCTGGGGGATGGACATGCCGCAATCCCTTCTCCTCCATTCTCCTCTTGGGATTTTGGGCACGCATGCACACACATGCGCCTGGTGTGAGTTTAATCTACCGAGTCCAGGACTCGAACCGAGGTTGACTACATGGGAGGCCAGCGACAGAGCCATTACGCCAACTGCTAGTCCTTTATTTTGTGTTTTCTATCCATCTACATCTCTACATTCTCTGCTCCTGCCTGATCCTAGTGTGCCTTCAGTAAATGATTACTAATACCAGCGCTGTCAGGGCCAGCGACAGAGTGTGGTGACAACAGTGTAGTGACAACAGTGTGGTGACAAAGCAGTGCTCTTCCCTGTGGGACCAGCTGTCTTTAGCTATGGGAGTAAAGCCTACTAGTGTAGATGTAAGATTTTTGGCTCTGGGACCAGCAGTTAGCGTAATGGCTATGTCGCTGGACTCCCACGTAGTCGACCGCGGTTCTTATCTTGGACCCGGTGGCTTAAACTCATGCCGGGTGCGTGTGCGCGCGTGCCCAAGATCCCGAGAGGAGAATGGAGCAGAAGGGATTGCAGCATGGCCATCCCCCCTGGGGGGTGATTTCTTGCTTTCTGTCTCTCGGTCTCTCGCTGTCTTCTGGCGAGCACACGCGCCCTATAGCAAAAAACTCTCAAAAAAAAAAAAGATTTTTGGCTCTGTTGTTTTCCCACTACTTTGGGTGTTGTAGTGTTTGATTCAGTAAGTGAGGAGGTGCCATTTCTCTTGCAAAAAAGTACAGAAAAAGCAAATGAATGACCAACAACATTTACCATTTGCTTTATCTCTTCCTTCTACCTTTTTCTTTTGAAAATCATTACTCAAATGCTTGATTTATTATTTCTTCTTCCTAATGCCTTTGTTTTCATGATTTGACAGCAGAATGATTAGCCAGTCATTTTTTTTTTTTTTTGAGAGGTTTTCACTATAGGGTGCGTACGCTTGCCAGACAGACAGAGAGAGACATAGAGACAGAAAGCGAGAAATCACCCCCCAGAGGGGATAGTCACACTGCAATCCCTTCTCCTCCATTCTCCTCTCGGAATCTTGGGCACACACGCACACACGCCCGGCGTGAGTTTTAAAAAAAAAATACATGAACCATGATCGACTATGTGGAAGTCCAGCAACATAGCCATTATGCTAACTGCTGGTCCCAAGTCATTTTTGTATTTTAAGACATTATTTTAGTATTTAATTTTTAAAAATTATTTATTTTATTTATTATTATTTTGATTTCATTGCAGGCACTAGAGAGAAACACACACAAAGGGGGGTGGGAGAGGGAGAGAGAGAGGGAGGGAGAGAGAGAGAAAGCCACCAGGTCATGGACTTGAACTGTGGTTGGCCATGTGGGAGTCCAGCACCTTAACCATCATGCTATTTGCAAGCGCCAATATTTACCATTTTTTTTTTGTCTATCTTTTTTTTCTTGATAGCATATACACTCTCCAGAGAGACAGAAAGAGACAGAATTGGGGGAGGGAGAGAAAGAGAGAGAGAAAGAGAGAAAGGGAGAAATCACCCCTCAGTGGGGTGTGGTCACATTGCAGTCCCTTCTGTCGGGATTTTGGGTATGTACGCTCATGTGCCTGGCATGTTCTTTAAGCCACTGAGGCTGGATTGGAACTGCATAGTCAACCATGTGGAATCTGGCTCCCTTAACCACTATGCTATGGGTCCAGCCTACAGTATTTACTTTTCTGTAGTACCTGTATTTTTGTAAAGCACAAAGTATTTGTTATGCTTTCAGGGAGCTATCGTTGTTTCACTTACTTTTCTAATCTGATAAAATAGAATCTCAACTTTAGAAAATATTAAAAGCTCTTTGTGTTAACAGTGAAAATTCATGTTTTATTGATTATTTAAAGGAGACTATGGATAACCAAAACTAGTTGAAATGTTTCTTCCTAATCATTTCCTCTGTGGAGCAGAAAAGCATATATATCAGATAGCCACCACCAGCAGTGGCTGTGTGATATATATATATATATTTTACTCTTGGGAAATTACAGAGAGGAGCAGCATGTGTGTATATATGTGTGTGTTTTGCCTCTTGTAGAACATAACTACCTAAATACAAACAAAACATTGCTATCTAAATGCATTGACTGATTTTAATAGTAATGATTTTATTTACATATTTAAAAATTTTTGTTGTGTTCTTTAAAATCTGCCTATTAGCCCCAGTTCTTTTTTTTTCCCCCAGGTTTTTGCTATAAGACACATGTGCTCACTGGAGAGAGACAGAGAGAGGCAGTGAGAGGGAAAGCAAGAAATCAGGGAACATGGCCATGCTGCAGTCCCTCTTAGTCCCTCTTCCTCCATTCTCCTCTTGGGAATTTGGGCATACACACACGTGCCCAGCATGATTTTCAAAGTGCTGGGTCCAGGACTCAAACTGCAGTTGACCATGTGGGAGTTGGGTGTCTTAACTGCCATGCTACCTGCTGGCCCCTCCCCCAGTTCTTTTTTTATTTAAAAATTTTATTTATTATTGTTCTTTAAAATTTCACCAGAAAGAGAGGGAAAGTGAGAAAATAAGCTGCCAGGTCCAGGACTCAAACTATGGTCGGCCATGTGGGAATCCAGCACCTTAACTACCACACCTTCTGCTGTTCCCTCCCCCCCACCTTAACCACTATGCTACCTGTTGTTTCCCCCTCCCTATTCTAATATTTTTAGATTTGGTAAAAATTAGCAAGAGCTTAGATCAATTTTTATGACAGGTTGGGTATGAATGCTGATGTGGTTGCTCATTGGTCTAACTGGGCAGGCGACTTAACCTCTCTAAGATGCAGCATTTTCAGGTGTAAAGATGGGGAAGACAGCAGTGGTGGCAGGTGTAGAGAGTGGCTATTCTGAGCAAACATGGTGATATTTAGACATATGCAGAAATGTGGTTCTATGGGCAGTCATTTGCAGGATAATGAACACCATTAGCATGTAAATATGCTAGATGCCTGTGTTTCTGAAAACCTACACTTTAAAAAAAATCTTGTGCTGGGACCAGCAGATGGTGTAATGGTTATGTTGCTGGACTTCCATGTAGGTGATTGCAGTTTGAGACCTGGACCCAGTGGTTTAAACTCATACCGGGCACGTGTGTGTGTGTGTGTGTGTGTGTGTACGCACACATGCCCCAAATCCTGAGAGAGTGGAGGAGAAGGGATTGCAGCATGTCCATACCCCCAACCCCAGTGATTTCTTGCTTTCTATCTCTCTAGTGTGGGGGTGGGGGTGGGGGGAGAGTCATGTGTTAATCAAAACTGACCTGAGAAAACTTAGGTAAGACTACATGGAACCAGGCGCCTTTGCATCTTTAGCCGATTAACATCTAAAAACAACTGGCTTTACATTCCATGTCCCCTTCCTCCATTTTCTGCCCTTTAAAAGAATAAACCTGAAAACAATTCAGGCCCGGGAACCAGCAGTTAGCGTAATGGCTATGTCGCTGGACTCCCACGTAGTCGACCGCGGTTCGTGTCCCGGACCCGGTGACTTAAAACTCACGCCGGGCACATGTGCGTGCGTGCCCAAGATCCCGAGAGGAGAATGGAGGAGAAGGGATTGCGGCGTGACCATCCCCCCCTGGGGGGTGATTTCTCGCTTTCTGTCTCTATGTCTCTCTCTGTCTGTCTGGCGAGCGCACGCGCCCTACAGTGAAAATCTCTCCAAAAAAAAAAAACAAAACACAACAAAAAAACAATTCAGGCCCTGGCTGTCACCATCAGAAAAGTGGAAACACCCAATCCCTGCTTTTCTCTACTCTTGTGTCTTTGTGTGTTTAGTTTTACATTTATTCTCTAATCCACCCCCCCTCCCCCCACACACACAGACTCAGAACATGCGTTTGTTTAGCTGTGTGAGACACAACAGGGAGCAATGATGGGGTAATACTCATGAGCTAGCTGCTCAGCAGAGAGTGCTAGGTGCTTGCAGAATTGGAGTGGAGTGCCTGGCACAGAGTGAGCACTCAAAAGAAGCTAGTTACTAGTGTTATTATGTTCATACTTTATATTTTGAGGCTAAGACTTAGATTTGGTTTTACCTTTTATATTTCTACAGGACATAATTGGCAATTCTCAAGCTTTCTACTTCTTTTATGTAAAATTTCCAATTTTACAATTTGTGAAAATTTTCATGTGAAGTGATATATTAAGTTCTAAATTAGTGTGTATTCCACAGATACCGACTGAGTACCTACCAGCACAGCCACTCACTGACCTCGTAGCCCCTCCAGGCTTTTCCGCTGGCTGTTTTCTCTGCCTGCACTGTGTTGTCTTTAGATCACTCATGGATTGATTTGTCCCTCATTTCATTTAATTTCTGCTTAAATATTACCTTAACAGAGAATTGGATGGGCCAGTAGGTGGCATGATGGTTAAAGTACTGGACTTCCACATGGCTGACCGTTATATGAGTCCCGGACCTGGTGGCTTGCTTTCTTAGTTTCTTTCTCTCTCTTTCTCTCTTGCTCT